CTTTGCCATTCACTGATTTTCTTCTGATTTTCCTGTCTGTTTTGATGATCATCTATTGATTTGGGATACAATTTTCTTGATTTTAGTTTCTCCACCCATTTCGTCTTCCTTGATTCACAATTACCCAGTCATCCTCAAATTTTTCATTTTGCATCTCTTCGTGTTCTATTTGGGATGGATTTTCCATAGCCAAAGGATTATGTCTATCAGACTCATTTGTTTGCCTGTCAGTTATATGATGTTGTGTTCCTCTCAATCGATTGGTTTTCTTTCCCTTTTTACCATACCTCTTCTTTGATCTGCCACATTTTCTTTTGTTGGTCGTACTTGATAGGGTCCTTGATTGGTTCAAATCCAAGTAACAGTGTTCATCATGATCACCAAGAAGTTCGTATCTATTGAAATGAGAAGGGATGCATACTTGATCAAACATGCGATGAGCCATGTTGTTATTGCCACAAAATGAACAAATCCAGATCAATGTCAGGTCACTCAGTCTGTCTTCACAAGGGAATCCCATACATGTCACATGAAAATGCTTACTACAACAGTCACATCTTGCAATCACTTTCATTTTCTTTGATTTCATTGTTACAGATACAGCATTCATTAAGATCTGGGTTGGTCACCAATGCACAACTAGTCAGTATATTCATGATTTCATCAAGTGTTTTCTTAAATTCAATTGTATCCATCATGGTAAATTTTGCTTATATACTTGCAACAGTTCTGGTTAATAATTACAAGTCTACAATTAACGGTTCTGTAACTTTGATATATAATGTTCTGATATATATTCCTTACTCCAATAGTTCTTTTATTAAATATTCCTATTGTGAATTATGAAAAACTAATCCTTACTGATATTAAACTCTATGGTATTTCAATAGCCTAGCTTTATATACACTAGCTTGTACTGTGTTAAGGAGCTATAATGTTTTTGTCTCAAGATGGCGTTTTTATTAAAATATGAGTAGGTCATTAATAGCCTAAATGTATTGTAGGCCTATATAAGTTCCCAAATTGCTAATTTCTTTGTTACTCTCTCTCTGCAAAACAGGTTCACTTTATATCCTGATCAAAATAGATTTCTTATTCTTTCTCAAATCAATCAACCTCACTTATATTTCTAAAACTATATTTTATCCTGACCAATCTTCTTTCTTACTCTCTCTACAATCAAGCTTACTTTTATTTTAAAATTCTGAAACACTATATATCGAAGGATTTTTTCCTTTTCTCTTTACAAATCAACAACGCTCACTTTTCTAGGACTATATATATTGACACAAATTTGTGTGATTATGGTCTTATCAAGTTCTAGGAATTAGAATTAAATTGCTTTCTCGCTATTGTTCTTCTTTTTATTTCAGTTTGTTTTTAATTCCTTTTAGAAACTGCCAAATATTTCTTTCTAATTTACAGTAATTATGTCTTCTAAAATGGCAATACAGTCTTTCAAAACTTGCAATATTGCCTTCTTCACACTATTTTGTTCAATCTTCTTTATTCTTTGCTGTGTATACGCTCTTTTTACTTTCCCCAAGATTACTAATACTACTGTTTTGAATTCTAATAGAGGTCTTATCAAGTTCTAGGAATTAGAATTAGATTGCTTTTTCTCTATTGTTCTTCTTTTATTTCACTTTGCTTTAATTCCTTCTAGAAAACTGCCCAGATTTTTTTTCTAATTGACAGCAATTTTGTCTTCAAAATACAGTCCTTAAAACTTCCAATATTATCTTCAACGACTACTTTCCAATCTACTTTACTCTTTAAAATGTATACCTCTTTTTTTCTTTCCCAAGATTTACAATATTACTGCTTTCAACTGTAATTATGGTCTTATCAAGTTCCAGGAATTAGAATTAGATTCCTGTTCCTCTATTATTCTTCTTTTATTATTGCAGTTTACTTTTAATTCCTTCTAGAAACTGCTAATAATTTCTTTGTAATTGACAATAATTATGTCTTCTAAAATGGCAATACAGTCCTTCAAACTTCCAATATTTATCTTGAACGACTACTTTTCCAATCTACTTTACTCTTTAAAATGTATACCTCTTTTTTTCTTTCCCAAGATTTACATATTACTGCTTTCAACTGTAAGTATGGTCTTATCAAGTTCCAGGAATTAGAGTTAGATTCCTTTCCCTCTATTGTTCTTCTTTTTATTTCAGTTTACTTTTAATTCCTTCTAGAAACTACCAATAATTTTCTTTATAATTGACAATAATTATGTCTTCTAAAAATGGCAATACAATCTTTAGAAATATTCTGTTCCAGTTTTGATTCGATTCAAGATTTCCAGATTCAAGTTTCATTCAGTATGTATGTTTCAGATTCAAGGTTCAAGATAGTTCAAGTTCAAGTGCTAGTTTCAAATACAAGTTCAAGTGCAAGTTCTTTGGAAGTTCTTTAGTTCAAAATAGTTCAAGATAGTTCAAAATATTCAAGATAGTTCAAGATAGTTCAAGATAGTTCAAGATAGTTCAAAGATAGTTCAAGTGCAAGTTCAAGTGTAAGTTCAAGTGCAAGTTCAAGTGCAAGTTCAAGTGTAAGTTCAAGTGTAAGTTCAAGTGCAAGTTCAAGTTCTTTGAGAGGTTCTTGGAGAGTTCTTTGGAGAGTTCTTTGGAGGTTCTTTGGAGAGTTCTTTGGAGAGTTCTTTGGAGAGTTCTTTGGAGAGTTCTTTGGAGAGTTCTTTGGAGTTTTCTTGGAGTGTACCACCCTCGGTCCTGCAAAAGACAGAAAGGAATAGAAAAAAAAAATTAATTAAATTCAATAGACACGTTTGGGCAATTCTTGAGAAATCATCAAGGAGCTCGTATCTATTGAAATGAGAATGACTTAATTATTAAATCACTATTGCTTCAAAATAGACTTCCCCTTTAAGTCAACATAGATATGTGCCAGATCCAGCCCCATTCACTTTTTACATGATTGAAAAGCCCTGATAAGGGCTCGTGTTTGTACATATTATGAAGTTTATGAATTAATATGGATTATAGATTAGAATCTAGAATATACTTACTTTAATTAGAGCGATGCTGGAAAGTGTGCTTAGATGTTAAGTACTTTGTAATTGCTAGGCATTTCGTAAGTAAGAAGACCAGC